ACTGGTGTAATAAAAAGCTGAATGGTCAGGGTTGGAGAGGCAGCCCCGGCCTCAAGAGCACTGGCTGCTCTTCCAGAGGACCCATGCTCAATTCCCAGCACCCACATGGTGGCTCGCGGCCATCTGTAACTCCGGTTCCAGGGAATTTGACACTCTTACATAGACATGTGGGCCAAAAACCCAAATAAATAAGTAACAAAGAAACAATCAATGCACAAAAAATAAAAATAAACAAATCTTAAAAAATGGCCAGTAGCTAGGCAGGAGGTGTCCTTGGGACTTCTGGCAGAGAAAGCACTGGGAAGAAGAAAGATGGATTCGCCAGCCAGCCACAGAGGAGATAGGATGGGCAGTGAGGAGATGGGGTAACCAGCCTCGTGAAAGAACATATATTAAAAAATGTGAGTTAAGTTATAAGAACCAGTTGGGAGCAGGCGTAAGCTAAGGCCGGGCTTTTATAATCAACACGTCTCCGAGTTACTTCAGCCGGCAGGTTCTGCCTCGTGGGCTCTGGCTTGGCGGTAAGAGCCCGTGCCCACGGAGTCATCTCCTGGGCCCACTTACTGCTTCTTATCAGGCGTCCAGGGGCGTCTAAGCGTAGTCTTAGCACTTCTATTCTTGACTCGCCCAGAGACTGTCGGTTGCGCAGAGGAACGTTTCCTCACAAATTTGGGGACCGTAATCTTTCTTTCCTCTTCCTTTTCCCTCTCTCCCACATCCTCCCTTCCTCCCCAGTGCTGCGAGCAGATCCAAGCCCTGAACATGACAGGAAAGGGCTCTGTCATTGAGCCGCGGCCTCAGCACCTCCCATGACAATCCCTCTTTAAATAACTTACTCCTCAGGAGTCTGACTAGAGTGGGTGGTAGTGTCCCACAGCACGCCCATGGTTTGTTCCTAATCTGTCACTCTCGTCGCCCAGTTCCCGGTTTGTTCATCAGATTGTAAGTTACAGAAATAAGAACATAGTCTCGTAACACCGGACACTTGGGAGGCCAAAGCAGCGGTCACCGGTTCAAGGCCAGGCGGGGGCAACTCAGTGAGATCTCATCTCAAAAAGTTACATGAAGGCTTGGTAATGCAACTCAACAGCAGAGAGCTTGCCTGGCATGTGCGAGGTTCTGGGTTGAAGCCCCAGGAGCCCCTCCTCAACACTAGTTAGTTACTATGGAAACGGGCCGGTTGAAATGATGTGCTGTCACTGTTAATTAGTAATTCTTTTTAGATTTCAGATGTTTCGCATTTTCAGGCCTAGAGTTCTGCTCGTTTCTTTTGATGCTGTTCATTCCTCTCCTGCCATCATCTATTTATTGTTTTGCGTTTCTTTGCGGATTCCAGGAGCTGGATACATGTCCCTTTCTGTTGGCCCGGCCTTCTGTGATTACGGGTCAGATTTGTTTTTTTTCCTTGCCTGTGTAGTAATTGCTCCGCCATGTTGAGGTGGGAGGGGCATGGTGTAAGAAGTCTGGGCTGCACCGTGTGATCTCTGTCTCTGAGGTTGGTTCTACCAGCAAGGTTTTTTTTGTCCATGTCAGTGCACCTCGGCTGTAGGGCAGCTGTCTCCATTCTGAACTCAGTCCAAGGGCCTCACCGACTCTAGACAGATCTTATCACCAACACATGGCCTTCCTGGCTCAGGAAGGACCCTTTGCTCCTTCTGGGCAGTGCCCTGGCGTCTCCCAGTCATGCTGACCCCGCTCAGGCTCTCGGGCCTCCCTGGATGGTGAAGGCTGGCAAATTGCCTTTGCTAAATCCCCGCAGAAAATCCGGGGCCTGTCGTCTGTGGCCGTGACCCACAAATTCCAGGCATTTCTCCCACTCAGAGTGGACTGCTTTTTTCTTTTTCCTGGGGTGGGGCGAATGTACTTCTACGTGGGCAGAAATGGCTCTGGGCTCTCTGCCCAGAGTGAGTCCTGAACCACCCCTGTGTTTCCTTCCCCCAGGCTCACAGTCCTACAGTGCCTGCGGTCAGAGCCCGGGGCAGCTGCTTCCTGCGCTGTCCAACCTGGCGGCTGGCGGCACAGTGGAGGGCAAGGCCAGCAGACCGGCACCAATTAATTACTCTTTCACGACGGAGGCCAGCAGCCCGTCAGCCGTGTTTGCAAGCTGACTTCCTCACGGATGATAGTAAACGAAGCGTGTCCCTGTTCTCCCTTTTCTGATCCATCTGTAGCATGACAGTTCTCAAAACAAAACGAAACACTGACTTTTTTTTGGACTGATTGGGCAGTTATGGCTAACTTCGGGTGACTTCTGATATAGCCCGCAGGTCTGAAACCTCCATAGCTTGGACTTTCCTTCCCCGAGTTACAAGTAGGGCTGGTGAAAAGTAGCCCTGCATGATAGCCGGTGTTTGTCTTTAACACAGGTTGTCGCTGGTGTCCCTGACTGTTCATGCTCCCCGGTGGGAGTGCTCCCCGGTGAGGGTGCTCCCTGGTGACGGTGGTCGTTTGTGAATGGTTGTCGAGTCAAGTTGCATACAGTTGCTCTCATTTTTGTTTTCTGTTTATTTTTTGACCATGTTCATTCATTCATTCACTGAGGCTGTGTGTGTGTGTGTGTGTGTGTGTGTGTGTGTGTGTGTTTTCCTTTCAGAAACGGGAACAAAGGGGCTTGAAGACTGTTTTGGCGTAGGTGGAAGAGAGTATTAAGCAGAAAATGATGTTTCTTTTTATTAAATTTTCTTTCCTTGCCTTGAAAGTGCATTTCCCCCTACATATCCTAAATACGGTTTCTTCCGTCTACGGCTCCCATTCCCTTCCATCCCCCCCTCCCATTTGTACCCGCCCTCTTTCTGTCTCTCACTAGAAAACCAACAGGCTCATAGGGGAAAATAACAAAATGATGTGAAGCAAAGGGATAGGACAGTACTGACAGAAAGAGCCCAAGAAAGGGCTCCAGAGGGAGCCACAGACACAGGGACCCGTTGGCGCCCATACTCAGGGGTCCATACGAACACCAGCGATGTCACTTTATATAAGCAGAGGATCTGCAGGGGTGAAAAGGAGGGTACGTGCATAAATAAACAAATAACGATACGACCGCAGCGTGACGCTGTGAGACAAGGACCCAGCGAAGTTGGGGTCACGTCAGGTTCGTTTCCGGCATGCAGCCTACTCCTGAGAGAAGTGAAGTGTGCCTCCCCAGTGAGACTCCTCGGAAAAAGGGACGTTTGCGCGTGGCTGTCAACTAACTGGAGATGGCTTCTGGCTTAGAGATGGGAGCATGTGCGCCCTTATCCTTTCCGCTCCAGGACGCCCGATGCAGACCCGTGCAGGCCCGGGGCTCACACATACTTCAAGAATATTTTTTTGTTAGTTTTCTGAGAATGTCACACATGCAGGCAACATATCTCTGTCATAGTCACCGCTGTCTTCCCACCAACGCCTGCCAGATCCATTTCCATCCTCTCCCAACTTCTCGCCCTCTTTCCCGTTTGTTTATGGCGCTCTAGGATTTGCTTTCTCCTCTGTCTTGCCTTCATGGCATACCTTATTCTGCAGCCCAGGCTGGCCCTGAACTTTTTCTTTGACCCTCCTTCTCTGCCTTCCAGCTGTTGGGATTACAGGCAGGGGTCGCGGTGCTGGGTTACGGGAGACTGGTAACTGGTGTTGGCGTGGGGCTCCGTGTGTTTTGGTGATCGGCCTGCATCAGGCTCTCCTTTGTGTTGACATAACCACAGGCTCATCACCTGCCCATTGACTCCCAGTGCAGTCCTCACCTGGGAATGTGGTGCCCTCTAACTTAACAAAAGCAAACGGCAGCCACCCTCACTGCTCCAGGTTCTTTTCCAGTCTGTAGCTACTTCCTGTCTCCCCCCACCCACCCACCGCCAAGGCTAGTCTTGGGTCTCCTCTGCTTAGCGCCCCCAACTTCTCTGTACTTCCTGCTGGCTGTTCATTGAGCCATGGCGCCCTCCCTTCCTCCCACGATGCTGTTCCTTAGCCTCCATGGTCTTTCCTGCTCGCGTGCCTGAGGAGGAGGAGGCGGCCCCCACCCCACCCCACCCTGCTGTCTGCTGCCATCTGCATCGCTGTTTGCCCGTCATGCTGAACCACATGCTCCTCCGCACAAGTTGAGTGAGCGTTGTCTCTGGAGACAAAAAGCCGTGTCTCCCAGTCTCAGGATATTCAGGGGCCTCTGGGTCCTCTTCCCGGAGTCAAGGGTGACGTTTCTCTTTCTGCCGTGACTCTCTGAGACGTCCATTTCCGTATAAAGAAGGAGGAAGCCATGGCCATGTGTACCTCAGTGATGACTCACAGAGAATTCGTTGTGGACTCAATAGTTACAATCCAAATCATGCTGTTTCCCCCTCTTTTCTCCATCTCCCTATTGATTTTGGTGCAGAATTACTTTGGTACAAACTGACTTACATTGGGCACTGAAAAAAAAATGAGCCGAGGACCGACGGGAACAGAGGCAGAGAGCCACAGCCAAACATTCAGCCGATCTCGGGGAGTTCTCCTGAGGAGAGGGAGGTAGGGTTGTGGGAGCCAGAGGGGCCAAGGACATCACAAGAAAACCCACAGAAGCAGCTAATGTGGGCTCACGGAGTCAGAACCAGCAACCATGGAGCCGCGAGGGAGCGACCTAGGCTCTCTGCGTATATGCCACAGTTGGGGGACTCCTAACACTGGGTACAGGGACTGTCTCTGACTCCTGCTGGCTCCTGGTACCCTATTTCTCGTACTGGGTCGCCTTGCCCAGCCTTAATACATGGTCGAACTTGATATGCCAGGACGTGAAATAAATGTTATTTAGGTAAAAAATTTAAATATTAAAAAAGGCTGAGCTGGGACTCTCTCCTGCTTCCTTCACCTCCCTGTGGCTGGCTGTCCTTTGAAGACACAGCTGTCAGTGCGCGGCATCAGGACTGTCACCATCCATCACCTTGGCCTTGATGTCACACGAGATGCCATGAAAAGTACATTTCTCTATTTTCTGTGCTGCACAGAGTGTCGTTAGAGGATTCATCTCTCCACTTTGCGTTTATTCATTCCAGGCCCTTCGTTTAAGTAACACTGCCATGGGGAAGACAACCACGGGCCAGATCGTCAACCTGCTGTCCAACGACGTCAACAAATTTGATCAAGTAGGTTCCCTCCCTGATGGGATTCACCTGAGGGCTTTGGTGTAGAGGAGGATCCTTCCCGTTGGGGATGTAACGGGCACTTCCAAGCCACATCTCCTCACTTCTGTGCGCGGCAGAGATGTAGTAAGATGTGTCGATGTCGCGGAGTCCAGGTTTTGATTTTGCGATGTGCCAGCCTGGTTAGTGCCTTGATTGCCCTGAGTGGCTGCCCTCTCCTTTACCTTTGGCACATAGCGGTGGAGCAGACAGAAAATCGTCTTTCTCCTTCTCCAGAGAACCAAGTCTTGGCGGGCAGGCGTTCCCAGTGCAGCCCCATGGACTACCTGGTACATAGGAACACTTCGATAAGTCTTGCCACATGGGTGGTGCTAACTGCAAACTGCAACTCTCTCGCCCCTCACTTTACACGTTGATCACAATGTCTAGAACTTTCTGGCATGATCCATGCTGCACTGCGCATTCATTCGCCAGACACGTAAACGTCACCCAGAGTGGGGGATAAGCAAAGCACTTCTGTCTTAAGAACTCGGTCCTTCCTCTTCAGAGAGGGTCAGCACGTAAACAGTGGCTGCAGAATGTGGTAGGCACCCCAACACGCAATTTTCTGAGGTGCTGGGGAGATGACATTCAGTTGTGTGACAGAGACCATTGTGGCGAGCGTTGCTCTTACACGCGAGAGGGGAGATTGCGGCCATCCCTGGGATGGTGCGGTCCACGCCATCCTGTATCAGGCGCGCGGTCGACTGTGTTGTGCCCGCGTAACTGCTTCTGCGTGGATCCTCGTCTTCCGTTTCTTTAGAGAATGATGTTTCTGTCTTGTTTCATGTACAGTCCTAAGAGTGTGTTGGCTCTGTATCCGCAGGTGACAATCTTCTTGCACTTCCTGTGGGCAGGCCCGCTGCAGGCCATTGCCGTGACCATCCTTCTCTGGGTGGAAATAGGCATCTCCTGCCTAGCTGGCATGGCTGTTCTGGTTATTCTTCTGCCTCTGCAAAGCTGTATTGGGAAGCTGTTCTCGTCACTGCGGTAAGAGGAATGCCCGGCCGGAAGAAAATACATATGCCCTTGGTAATGCACCTGCTACCCAGATGCAAAATCAACACTCCTTAGCTCTTCTGCTGCCTGTGGGCTCTTCAGGCTTAGCCAAGGGGTACTCCAGCTGTAAGCCAAAGGCTGGTCTTGGAAGGGGAAAGGTGAAGGCTAGGTGGCTGACTGATCCCAACGGGCTTTGCAGTTGGAGCAAGTCTCCATCACGGTCTCCGGATTTGGGACAGGGCGGGGCGTAGGGTGCCGTGTTGTTTGACGGTGACGGCAGGCTCTTTTCTCCTGAGTCTGTGTAGTGTCCCCTTTGCTAAGAGGAAGCCTTCTGGTCCCTGGGGAGCCAGCTCTATGCTCCGGCCCTCTGAAGCTCTTAGCTCACTCTTTTCCCGATGGGATGAATGAGCTTCTGCATCCTCTGCCCCGAGGCCTTTGCTCCTGGCTCCTTCAACCTCTGTCAGCTGGGTCCGTGTCAGGCATGATGCTTCGTTGCCCTCCCCTCCCACCTGGGTGCCTTTGCGTTTATGCTGCGCGAGGTTAGGACCCACCTGTGTTGTGGGAGCACAAGCGTGGAGCGCGGCATTCACTGCTTTGACCCTGGGTCCCTGTCTGAGCCTGTGGTTGACTCACCAAGGTTGGCTGTGGCTCATCTGTCACACGTGTGCCCCTCAGGAGTAAGACTGCAGCTTTCACGGACGCCAGGATCAGGACCATGAATGAAGTCATCACGGGCATGAGAATCATAAAGATGTATGCATGGGAGACGTCGTTTGCTGACCTCATTACCAGTCTGAGGAGGTAAGCCTTGGTATTGACCGCTGTCTTGGGCACGGTTCCGTTTCCTAATTTTAACCCGGTGAGTTAGAGTTCTCATTTTGTTCCTTTGGTGACTCAGCTCGGCTGTGGTTTGCGTCATTGAGCTTGAGCGTGGGGCACTAATGTAGTAAAGTGTGATGGCCCAGCACATGGTTTTAACTTGGGCTCCCAGGAACCATTGTTTCAGGCGAAGGTTACACTTCTCACTCTCTCGTCCGTCTGTCTGTCTCGGTCTTTCTCACTCTGATTTTGTTTTTGGTGGTCCTGGGGATTGAACCCAGGGCTTTGCTTGTTCTGGGCAAGCATTATTCCATACACCACTAAGCCGCCGCATGGCCAGCCTTCCAAGGCACGTCTTGCCGATGACGAAAATGGAATTCTGAGTGCTTCAAATTCCCTACAAACAGTGATTCCATGATACAAGAATTTGAGAAAATTACATTTAAAATAAAGCTCTGCTCGTTGTCAGGGTAGTGAGAGGGTGTTGTTGCCGTCCTGTGTGGAGCCAGACTCCGGGAGTGGGCGTTGTCCCTCCCAGTGAATGTTATGGAAATCCATTCCTTTCGTTTTGTTTCTGACATCTGTTTGTTTTTGCGCGGTGGCACAAGACGTTATAACCTCTTCTAGCACTGGACACCTGAGATTTGGTAGCTGAAATGTAGACACTTTTTCTTTCCCTTTTCTGTGGATTCTACCCAGCATGGCACGGCCTCCTCCATGACCCAGGAAGCTGGCGCCAGCTGCTTCTGTCTGTGGTTTTGGATAAAATCTCACAGTTTTAGGGGTGCAGTTCTCTCCCGTGCTCGTGGAGGGGACAGGCTGTGTCTCACCCATCCTGTGGTCACCTGGAAGGGACCTGGCCCAGGGATTACCTTTGGGGATGCTAGCTGAATGCATCTGTCATCCTGTACCCCCAGCCATGTTTGTGAAGTGGTTTAGTGTCCCATGCGGCTCTAAGGAAGCTTTCCCCGGAGTATGTGCAAAAAACTGTTGATTACACGTGTGCATGTTTTCATGTGTGTACATATGTGTGCACAGATGCATGTGGAAGCCAGAGGTCCTCCCCAGTACTGTTCCTCAGGAGGCCACCACCTACTTTTTGAGGCAGGGTTTCTCATTGGGAACTGGGGTCCCGTGGCTCAGCCGGGCTGGTCCCAGTCTTTGTCTCCCCTCCTGGAGGTGCAGGGTAACATTCGGGTCCCTTTGAGTAGATTTTGTAAAGAGCTCAAGTTCATTCCTTCTAAGGCACCCAACAGTAAGTCCTGAGCCAGGCGCCTTACTGGTGGCGGAAGTAACACAACTTGCTGGAGGAGAGAATAGTTCCGCTAACACTGTAGATTCCCCCTTAGGCGGAAATAGCCGGCACAGAGCTTCATGGCTCAGGAGTGGCGTAGGCTCAAGTATACCCATCACACCTGGCTTTTTGTGTACCTGCTATGATCAAGCTCACATTCTGATGCTTGCAGGAGGCCCTTTGGGGACCGAGCCATCTCTCATTGTTAGGCTTACCTGCCTAATGGGGCCTCATGCGTGTGACCTCGGTGTTGGCGTTTCTGTGTGAAAACCTATAAATTTCCTCTTTTTCTAGGAAGGAAATTTCCAAGATTCTGGGAAGCTCCTACCTCAGAGGGATGAACATGGCATCGTTTTTCATCGCAAACAAAGTCATCCTGTTTGTGACCTTCACGACCTACGTGTTGCTGGGCAATCAGATCACCGCTAGCCACGTGTTTGTGGCGATGACCCTGTATGGGGCTGTACGGCTGACGGTCACCCTCTTCTTCCCCTCAGCCATTGAGAAAGTGTCAGAGACAGTGATCAGCATTCGCAGGATCAAGGTTTGTGTAGAGTACAGTTCCAGTGTTGGCGCCGTCAAAGCGAAATTTAATCCTCTGAACACCAAACCCTTAGTCAGTCCATAGTGACGTAAGGTGTCCTATTTGTAGATAAGTATGCTAAGTCAGAGGGATTCCTGATTGTTTATGGGCACAATATAAACAACCACAGTCACAGGGCTCTCGATTGAGAAACGGTGCCCGCAAGAGCAATGTAGGAGAAACACACCAGTTTTATTTATATCTTCTAGACTGGTGGTTCTCAACCTTCCCAATGCTGTAGCCCCCTTAATATAGTTCCTCATGTTGTGGTGGCCCCCGGCCATAAAATTGTTTTCTTGCTACTCCATAGCTATAACTCGGCTACTGTTTTGAATCATGAACCGTAATGTGAATATTTGATGTGCAGATGGTCGGTCTTAGGTGGCCCCTGTGGAAAGGTCATTGGACTCAGGAAGGGGTCACTGCCCACAGGTTGAGAAATGCTATTCTAGACTCAGTATACTGAATCCAGGCCTGGGTTGAGTGCAGTTTCTCTGCAGGCTGGAAGACCTTTGCTCCTCAGAGAGACAGTGGCCTGAGCCAAAAGGAAACCTTGTTTAATAACAGTTCGTCTCTTAGCTGTTTCTTTCTGACTCCGCCTTTCCCCTCTCCGCCTTTCCCCTCGAGCCTGCTTTTCACGGTTTCTTCCTCTTTTAGAGCCTTTCTCCTGCAGGGGTCTCCCTGCCTGCCTGTTAATTCTACCGCATTGACCTTTGCTTTTCTTAAGTGGCTGCTCCTAAACTGCTTGGGGCAAATCAGTCTTGCAACCTTGATGCTGTCTGGAGCAGCGGTGCTAAGTGTTGGATTGACTGTGAGTGTATCCAGAATGACAGATAGGCTCTGCCTGGCATGACTTTGTTTCCTTTTAGTTCTCAGTAGCATTGCTGATTTAGTAACAGCAACAGATTTCTGCTGAATTTAGTGATCTTTGGGATCATAGGGCAGGGGAAAGGCTTGCTGTAAAAGCCAGGATGAAGTTTCAGATTTGTTTTCCAAAGTATTGCCTAGAGTCCTTGGGCCCAGATTGTGCACCTAAACCCCTCCTAAGAGGTTCTTCGCTCCCTGTAGGTGTGGATATTTGAACTCTGCGTTTGTGGCTCTCCTGACCACATGCTCTGCTCTCTGTTACATTGCACGCACTTCTCCACTGTGGGGGTGGGGGGTTTACTCCATGAATCGGGCCTCTGGGCTTCCCTGCCTTCCGCCCTTGAATTCAGTGTTCAGTTTCCAATTGTCACTGTGATGACGCTGGGGTCTTACGTGAAGGCGGGGAGGTGAGGGGTGTAGGAGCTGGGGGGGGGGTCTCCAGGGGGTGTTAAGCATGGTGTGTATTGGGAGAGGTGTCTGAAGAAGGTGCTTAGTGGTGTGACAGTTGGTTCGGTGGTGTTGGGGAGTATACTGTAGAAGGGGACAGGTGCCACAAAAGTAACCGCAATAGGAGCGCACAGTGAATAGTCCCCGGACTTCTGAATCGAGATTCTCTCAAGAGGAGGAACTTGGAGAGAGATAAGTTGTGGCATAACAGGGAAGAATAGATATCTGGTAGACCTAATCTGGTAGAGCATGGGAGATGCCGGGCAACGTCGGTGGTGCTGTAGCTGTCCACTGCCTCCTCGCTGGATGTGGGCTTGTGAAGGCAGAAATGGCAATCCTAACCTTAAACAGGTTGGTGAATGCCTGACCTGTGGGCAGGCAGCAGAGCTTGACCTGACCGATGGGTTCATCCACTGGTGGATTTGAAATGATGGGACAGTCTAGGGGCGGCAGGAATTTCCCGAGGTGAGCCCGCTTGGAAGAAGTGGGTGCTGGTCTTAGAGGCTGCATCTGTATCTTCTCCATTATCTGAATCTTCTCCATCATCTGAGTCTTCTCCATCATCTGAGTCTTCTCCATCATCTGAATCTTCTCCATTTCACTGTCTGGCTGCCACGGGGTCCACAGCTTCCCACATTTCTTCTTCCTGACACCATGATTGTTTGCCCCATCTCAGCCTCCAAACAATGGAGCCAGCTCGCCATGCACAGTACCCTCTGAAACTGGGAGTCAGGTTGTTTTTTTTCAGCTGTGAAAAGTGACCAGCAGTAGCCTGTCCTGTGCAGACTCAAGAGTTTGTGGACTGACAGGGTAGAATTCTGAAGACTTCAAGGGTTTTTTAAGTTTTAGACATGGACTCTGTTCCCTTTACAGGTCCGTGGGGGTGCCTGTTTTCAATGCCTCTTTGTCAGTGACATTTGCCTGTGGGTTCAGAACGCCATGGTGCAGCCCTTTCTTTCACAGGTAGTTTGTTGTTTCCATGCAAAACTACTTGTGAGGTTTCCTGTGAAAGCAAAGGTCCCTGCTTGTCACAGTTGTGGAGGCAGCCCGTGTGCACGCTAGGTGTCAGCAAAGCCAAGCTCGTTCAGAAGCCAGCAGGGGACAGTTCTCATCTCGTGACTTAGTACCCACGGCCCCTGGGTACCATTCCAGTGTCTGTCCCCAAGGCCACAAGGTTGTTTTGTACCTGTCTGTCTTTCTGCCCTCGTGACAGTAGCCCTCTGGGTTGGACTTAGAGCCCACACGTGGCCTTGTCCTTGTGATACCAGAAAGGATCCTTTTTCCAAATAAAGATAAATTCTGCATCTCTGGGTTTAGTAAGGATCTCAGGACATGTTTCTACAGGGGAGTCCTAATCTGTCTGCATTCCCATAACCAAACTCTAGGATTTATGAAGAACGGAAATGTGTTTCCCATGGTTCTGCGCTGGCAGGTGTAAGGTCAAGGTTCAGGCAGGTTTGGCTGTCTGTCTTCTGCCTCCTGGATGGTAGCTCACTGCCTTGCTCTGGAGGGCTGGGGCATTGTGTCCTCATATGGCAGAGCACTAATAGGGCCGGGTGCAGTGTGAAGCCTCCTTTATAAGAGCTTTCATTCCATTGGCACAACAGAGCCTGTATTGTAGCTTAATCACCTCTCCAAAACCACTACCTCTTCCAAAAAACCAAAACAAAACAAAACCAAACAAACCAATAAAACAAGCAAAACCATACCACTAGGTGGTGGTGCACACCTTTAATCCCAGCACTCGGGAGGCAGGGACCATGTTGGCCATTAAGTTCCAACACTCTGGAACCGCTTTATTATGAGATCCAGGCTAGGGGTATGTTCCATACTGCTAGGAACCTGGAATGCTCCTCGTCCTCCAGCATGTGAGGCCCTGTGGGAAATGGATAGGACTGGAGATGACCACAGCATCGGCTTCAGAGGCTGTGTGGCTTAAGGAATGTGTGTGGCCAATGTTGTCATCATCCACAGGCCTCAGCTTGGGTCACAAGGTGGCAGCTAGACCCCAGGAGGTTGCTCTGGGCTTCTGTGTCCCAGCCAGGTATTGGAAGTCTTGTTTTTACAGGAGATTGAGGTGAGACTTTGAGGACCCCCAGCCAGTCTGTCACATTGCCACTGCTGCAGGGTAGGGTTGGTCTAGGCTGAAGCTTTTAGTTTCTGGGCCACCTGGTTTGTTTATTTTTCCATCTCAGTGTCATTCACTTTATGATGCAGTGTGGCGTGAAGCCTATTCTCTCATTAATATTGTTTCTTTTATTTTTCCTTTCGTTAATCTCTTATTTGTTCCCTTGGGATGAGATTTGCGTATTCCGTGTGTGTGTGTGTGTGTGTGTGTGTGATCTAGGTTCCATGTGAATGAAGACATGATTTTTGTCTTCCTGACCACAGCATCAGGGACTGTGTTAAACTGTCACAGCATTGGGAAGGTTGAGAACCACCGAGTGCAGCAGTTTCAGAGTTACAGGTCTGACATCGAGGGCTTTGATCCATTTTGCGTAGATTTTGCTGTGGTTTTTCTCAGTGAATTCTTCCCGGCATTTGAGTGGCGCGTGGGCCTTTGTTACCGTCAGCTCTAACAGTCAGCAGGGCTCTGTCCTTTTTGTCCCATTGCGATGGCTGGCTGCTAACTGGTGGAACACAGCAGAGAGAGGAGATGCATCCTTCCTGCTGTCCAGGGTAGCTGTGAGAAGATGCTCTCACAGTGTATTTTAGGGAGTGGAAATGTTTAGGTTCTTGAAGACCTGGGAACAGCCTTTGCCTTTCTTCTGGCTTTAGCATGATGTTTGGCACAAGATGAGTCTCCAGAAAAATACTTATCAAATCATTTCCTGCCATCTCCTGTGTTTACCAAACCAAACCAACCCAAAATGATACCAATGTCCAGTTCTACATGTGTTGAGTTTCTTATCAATATTTTCATGCTAGGGAGGAGCTGGTGTACATGTTCAGAACATCGCAAAGACTTTGCTTATGTGTCTGAAATTTATGTGCATGAAAACACATGTATGTGTGTGTAATATATAATCTGTCAGTGCATGGCGTGTTCTTGATACTTTATTTTCTAAGTGTTTTTGTTACATATTTATTTATTATGTGCGAGGGGACACACATGTCAAGGCGTGTTTGTGGAGGTCAGAGGTCACCTGTGGAATATCTGCTTTCACCCCTTGGGTCCTAGGTTTGACCTCAGACTGGCAGGCTGTGTGCCAGGCATTCTTACCTGCTGAGGCAGAATACTCTTTAGGCTGTGAGAAGTTTTACATTGTACTTGGCGTGGAAACACTGCTTTGTGTATACTTTTATTTCTGTGGTTAAAATCGGCTGTGTTTTTCCTTTTCTCTAGAATTTTCTGTTGCTCGATGAACTGCCACAGCACAAAGCCCAGGAGTCCTGCGATGGTAAAGCCATAGTGCACGTACAAGATTTCACGGCTTTCTGGGACAAGGTAACCCACCCCTGTGGTTTTCAAGGCCCGTGCGTAGCACCGGTGAAAGAGAATGTCGATAATTTTACAAAGTCATGTACTGAGAATTCTGTGGAAATTCCCACAATCCAAAACGCTGTGATCCCAAAGGATTTGAAAGTTGTCCCTTGAAAATCATCGTATTTTACGTGTCTATAAGTGGGTCTGAGCCCATGTTTGTGTGCAGTTGCCCACAGAGGTCAGAAGAGGGCATCAGATCCTTTGGGACAGGAGTTAGAAACTGTTGCAGGCCACCCTGTGGGTGCTGGAAACCAAACCCAAGTTCTCTGGAAGAGCAGCCAGTGCTTTTAACTGATGAGCCATTTCTCCGGCTCCTGAAGGTTGTTATTTATCTCCTTTTCACAAAAAAATTTCCATCATCGCCTTGGTTTGAAGTGAATATCCCTAAGTTTTGACATTGGCAGTGTTGGAATGCACAGGGCTGGGCAGAGTAGCAGTCAGTATGGTATGGATTAACTGTACATTCTGGATTGTTGCAGATTTCCACCTTGTTTTCGTATCATCTCAGAGCGCATTGAACAGAGTCTGTGATCTGTATTTTTTTCTGGGGGGGTCAGATTGGGGACCCCGGTGCTCTGTGCCCCTGGGTACCCGAGTGGCGATCTGCAGGGAGAAGGCAGCATGCCCACACAGTAAGCTGCCTGGGTTCTAGGCGCAGGGTTTCACACATGCCGAATAGTGAAACGGGAGGCCAGGAGGGTTTCCCACATTGGGTTCCATGGGCATGCAGGCAAACAGGCAGGGCCGTGAGGAAGGGCTCAGTTTTATGGACTGAGTGCATCCCTCACATCCCTCTACCCACCGCTTCGGGGACTCCTGCTTCTCAGCATTGGCTCTGCTGCACAGAACTCCTCTCCGTCTGAGAAGCAGGATCCGCAACATGGCGGCAGCCTGAGTCTGTTAAATAGATAGGCGATGGCAAAGAGGAGGCTGTATGGGATGCCTGCAGACTGGCAGTGTGCTCCTAACCTCAGCGAAAGGAAGTAACTCCCGCCGGGAGCCACCAGAAGCAGGGGTTGCAGGGGTGAGGAGGGGGTGCAAAGTACAACCAGCATTTTCCATGGCTGCAGCCGAATTGGCATAGTATGGTCTCCTGGAGTTTGGAATTCTCTGAAAGCCAGCTGGAAGCCGACCTGGGCTCCTTCCCAGCTCTGCTCGCCTCCCCTTGCCCTGGGGCACACATGTCAAGCCACCGACTCCTGCCCGTTTATACGCCTGTTCAAGTGCGGTGTGGCCGGCACCACATCCCCGTAACCCTGCCGCAAGCCAACAGTGTGTTTCCAGATATGGAAAGCACACCCCTGCATTCCCTCCTCATGGGAATCCCTGCAAGGTGCTTTACTGGCCTGGAAGTTTCACGGTATATCAGCAAGGTCCATTTAAAATGTTGGTGGGAACCATGGCCACATTACCATTGCAAAACACCCTAGGTGGACACCGCACGGCAGGACATCTGCTAGCCAGCTCTCTTCTCTCTGCAACCCTGAGAAATGGGCAGTTTTATTCAAATGTCCCCAGGCTTGCATTTCCATACGGAATTCTCCCATCTGTTTCCCTGGCTTCCTCGTCTGTGGGATGATGATTAAAGACCTTTGCTCAGAGTGCCCTTTGGTCAGGTCCAGATAGGCCACTGGGTCGGGGTGGGTTTTTCAGGGTCTAGAGAAGGTCATCCTGGCCTGGGATTTAAGTCACAGCCCACCGGAAGGTCAGGTGCACACCAGGGAAAGCTCTTGTAATCATCCCTGTTCCATTTACACACTCAGTCTCTGACCTCACAGTGAATGGTCCCAGAGGACCTCTGCGGCTCCAGAGGGGCTCTCTCTCCCTTGTTCGCTGCTGTATCCCCAGGGTGTGTGGCTCAGCTCGCAGTGAGGGCTCATCACTGTCAGCATTGCTGTGGGGCCCCTGGGGCTGCTGTGCTGGCCTCTTCTGCTCCCAACACAGGGGTGCTCAGGCCCGAACCTCCAGAGGCCAGGAGCCTCTTTGTCCTAACAAAGACCCAGGACAGGCAGATTTTGTCCTTCCTTGTGCACGGTGGGACTGCCCTACGGGAACTCATTTTCTAGAGTAAAGATGGCTGTTTGCTTTTTCCTTGTGATAGGGAGAACCATTTCCCTCCGTGTGTTGTATAGAATACCCGCCCTGTGAGAAAGCATCTTACACATGTCTCGGGGTTCAGATGAATTTAACACAGCCTTAACTGGGTGCTACACACAGATGTACCCCGTGGGCAATGCAAATCTGGGAATAGGCCCTGTCACACACACACACAGACAGCAGTGTCTCTACTATACCACAACACTCTCTACAGTTACCATCATTGGCGTGCTGAGCTGTCTGAGTGCACTGATGCAGGATTTAGACAGAAGTTCTTACAGTTGGTGATAAGTACTGGGAAGGTCTGTGCACTGCTTACTGCTGAAGACTGCTCCATCCACCGCGCTGATTGCCGTCGGCTGAGGAAAGGAAGCTTTATTCTGGCTCATGGTACCCTGCTAAGATCCCATAGGACACACTTCTCATAATGGGAAGTCGGATATAGATGTGGGTTTGGTTTGATTTGAAGAAATTTGACCAAGAAACTATAAAACAACTTAAAAGATTGCCAGCGATCTCTTTTCTTGAAATTTAGTACAAGTTTAGCTCTTTATCTGAAATGTTTGAATCTGGTGTTACACAGTTTTGGGTATTTTGAGATTTTTTTTTTTTTTTTGATATTTCCATGTACATATGGGAAACCTTGGAGATGAGATCCAAGCATAAACATTTGTCTTCATATCTCCCTTGGTGTTCATATAGCTTTAATGTAGTCTTACCCAGACAATTTACATACGGAGCCCCACACATGTGCTGTCAATAAATGTCATTTCAGAGAACTCACAGTGTTAAGATTTTGAATTTGAAATACTCAGATAAACCATACATATAGAGCCTTACATTTCTTTATGTTAAAATGTGCAGGTTGCCCAGGAATGTGACTTCTGATAGTATAGTATGCCTTATTCCCCCCACCCCCCACCCCTCTGTGTGTAGTCTGTCTGTACCTCCGTGGTTTTTATGGTAGCAGGATTCTGTTGATCCTGTTTAGCAAGGCAGGCCATGAATGTCACCGGTGTGAGGCAGACCACAGCACCTGACCCACTAATGTACACAGAGCTTAATTTCTTAATTTTTGTTGTTAAGCTCACTCTCTTGTTACAGTATTGACGGTATTTGTAGAACATTCCCCCACCCCCCTGTTCCTGGCTTCATGCTGTCAGTCATCCTGAGTCCCGAGTCTGTATTCTATTCTGCCACCTTGTGGGAGTTAATGCCATAGATGATTAAAACCTAAGGTCCCAGTGAACATTTAGAAATGACTAAAATCCTCCCACACCGGATACTCTATTAGAAATACTAAGTTAGTGCCTTCGTATGAGCCAAGAATCCCTCATCACGAGAAGACAGCATTATCCTTTCTACTGCTTAAATTAGAATTCATATAGAAATCTGGACTTAAGTTTATTTGTTTAAACAAGTTTATAAATAAACTGAATGAAAAGGCTGTCAAGACGTAGCATGTTGAGTTAGGAAGAAATATGGGCTACGTGTGTGTATCGGTGGTTGTAGTTTTATTCCTTCTACTTTTCAGAGTGATTGTGTTACTTCCTTAAAATGAGACATGTTGTAAACTTTATCTCGTAGGCATTAGACACTCCAACCCTGCAAGGCCTTTCCTTTACTGCCAGGCCTGGTGAATTGTTAGCTGTGGTCGGCCCAGTGGGAGCAGGCAAGGTAAGTTTTTGTTTTGTTTAGTCTTCAAGTTGGCTCTTCGGAATCACTTATGTGGCTGCTACTCAGGGTAGAAGGCCTGAGAACGAGAGTGTTTCCTTTTTCCAGTGTGGCACCTAAATGCCACAGGGCCTGGGGAGGCAGTCCAGCTGAAACACCTCCCCTTATGACTTAAGCAAGTCCTGTCAGTCCATATTTAGCTCAAGTACAGCTGTGGCTTCTGCTGTGTCTGGACGAAAGGATGCACAGAGATGCCCCGACCCAATCACCTCTGCCTTTCAGAAGGATTGGGTTCTGGGCCAGGAGGATAGTCTCTGGCTCTCTGATTGGAGTAGGCACACATGTGATAAACCGGACAGGAATTCCTTCTGTGTATGGTGAAGGTTTGCCCCTCAGAACTCCTTCAGATAAAGAACTAACCCGGTGCATTGGATGCATCATCGGTGCATGGCTTTTCTGGAACTTAGGCACTTCGGTAAAGGCAATCTGGATTATCTGGACGAGGCCACAGCTTTAATCTATCTCTCTATCGAGACTGGGTCTCAAAATGGCCACAATGGCCTTGGACTTGCATGTAGCCAAGGATGACTTCGGTCCTCCAGCCTCAGTCTCCCCATTGCTGAGATTATAGGTGTGCACTACAGCACCCAGCAAAGATTGTTAATTACACATAGTATTTCATACAGCATTCTTAACTGCACATAGCAAGCCATTCTGTATAGCATTGCATGTGGGGAAGGTCATTTGGGAGGGTCGCTCATTGATGCACGGGTCCAGATTCATGGGGCCAGGTTCAATATAGGTTAATATGATTTTATTTGGGGAGAAGTCACTTACACAAGAAACAGATAACCGATGTCAGTTCCCTCTCCAGGGATCCACCCAGGCTGCTCTCCTGGGCCAGCTGGGGTCAGGACCCCAGACCTAGCAACCACGCCCAATGGGCGTGGTCAGCGCTACAGGACGGGGGGGGGGGGTGTCGATATCTACAGTTGGATCTGTTTTTGAGTACTTTTTTTTTTTTTTTTTTTTTTGTATTTCTGTAAAACACAGTGGCGTCATTGTGTCATTTCTGTTTTGTTTTTTGCTTTTAACTGCTGTGTTGTTTTCCATGAGTAGGTGACGCTTGGCAAACTGGCAGGGCCGGGCAGGGGCCGGCACACGTTTCATTCTGTGGCGACGCTAACGGCCTGTGTGTGTTTAAACTCTTTTTCAGTCCTCGCTGCTGAGTGCAGTGTTGGGTGAACTGCCTCCGGCCAGTGGGCTCGTCAGTGTGCAGGGGAAAATCGCCTATGTTTCTCAGCAGCCCTGGGTCTTCTCGGGAACCGTGAGGAGCAACATTTTATTTGGGAAGAAATATGAGAAGGAACGCTACGAGAGAGTGGTCAAGGCCTGTGCTTTGAAAAAGGTGGTGACTTTTGAGTTTCTTACGCTCCGTTTTCCAGTGACCTGGAACAGGTTGTCACAGTACTTAAGCTAAGCTAAGTGCCTGCCCCACTCATTAGTTTGAATGTGTCTTACTAAGTTCTGTTCACTGTTACCTGTTTCTGTGCCCTCATGTGCCGATCCTCACGCCTGTGGTTGTGACGACCCTCACCTGTTTCTGTGATCCTTAACTTAAAAAATGTGTTCTTATTTTTTTTTTTTATTTTATGTGGATGGCAGTTTTGCCTGTACTGCATGCACACTTGGTGCTTTTAGAGGCCAGAAGAGGGTGTTGGGTCCTGCGGGGTTGAAGTTACAGATGGTTGTGAGTCACCACGTGGGTGCTGGGAATCGAACCTGGCTCCCGGAAGAGTGGGGAGCCATGGTTCCAACACCTGATTATTCACTGGGATAAAAACACTAGATAGTTACAGAAGGGGAGAGGTTGGTGTGTTGAGCCCTTGGGCACCCATCACACAACTTTAGCCACACTCAGCCGGTGACCAGCTGTTAGTCATCTCTGTCTGAACTTTTGAAGCCCCTTCTTTATGGGTAAGCGCATGGGGGAATCTTAGCGATCCCGTGACAGGCGAGGGTGACCGCAGCGGGGGACAAACATGGCCGGCAGATAGAGCTTAGTGAGAAGTTTTATTGGAGAGGGGGTGTGGGGAGGAGAGAGACAAGAGGTAAAGAGACACAGATGAGAGAGACAGACAGAGAGAGGGCAGAAGAGATGAGAGAGACTGGAAAGCCCTGTCTGCTCTGGGGGAACAGCAGGGAAGAGAGAAGGAAAGAGAATGTAATTGTCCGGGGGAAGGTCTGTCTTCTAAAGGGGTCCTTTGCACCTGCGCAGACTACGCAGTCATGGAACCCTGGGCTGACCACGGCACTGCCTGAGTCTGCCTGGTGTCTTATAGTGTCTCCACTCCATGCCACTTTCTAGGGGATCCTGGACTCTTAGGATTTCATCTGTAAAAGTTTTCACTTTTTTTTTTTTTTTTTTTTTTTTTTTGGTGTTTAAAAGAAGTCCCTGGGATGTGTGGGTGGCGCCACAACCATGTAATGTTAAGGAAATAACAAATTGCTTGAGGTGATCCAGTCTAGTCAGTCTGGATTTTGAGTTCTAATCGTCAGCTTGCACTACCGAGAATAAACTGGGCAGAGGTTCTACAGCCCAGGCCCAAATTGTGCTTTATTTATTTTTTAAAGAAAACGACGTGTTGCAGCAACTTCCTTTTTAATACAACAACTCACAAGAGAGAAGGTTCTCAGAAATGACATTGGGAACTTCTTGTTACCCATGGCGATTTTAATAAAACTGATAGATTATTGATGGGAGCTGACTGTACCTGATAGGAGACTATAAGTTAGCAGATAGACCTAAGGCAACCATCTACGGAAACTGTTTCTGGCTTTGGCTGTAAAAATTGGTCAACACTAGCTCGTAAGGGCTCGCCATAGGGTCTGTTTACAGCATCCTGGACCCCGACTGTGCTTTTCTGGAGTGTGGAAAAGGCCAGACAGACCCCGAAGATTGCTGACGTTGGAGGCTCTGTAGTCCGCTCTCTGAGAGAGTTTGTGTGGTATCATTTGGACTACAGCTGGCATGTCACAGATTGCGTTGGCCAGTGGTGTTGTATGATGGTGTGGAAAGAAAGTAACTTCCTGTTTGTTTTGTGGGACTTCCTGCCTTTTGGGTGACAGTTAATGTGTTTTTATGAATGACAAGTCACAGTGACAAACTAGAGTTGTGTTCAAAGTCTTACTTGTCCATCCCTCTCATTCGCTGTCTCTACATACCTGTCATTAAATCAGGGTTCTTGGCATAAAGTATGACCTGTGCAACAAATCCCACAACTGGCTGTGCCTATGCCAGGCCTCACCGGTGATAATCACAAGCAAGCCATAAGTAAATGTCTCTCATATGTGGGGTATTTCAGGCCTGGTCATCCTGTTATTTGGGGGATGTTTCATCATTTCTGTACAGGGTTCTGTGCCTTGTCAATTTAATTTTTATCATAAGAAAAATGTCGATTCGGATTCCTTCCTAGATCCTCAAATGGAAGTTCAGTCTAATTTCCTTTCCCTTTTTTTTTGGGCTTGCATGTCACAAAAACCCATGTTGCCCACCTGGCCTACCCTCATGTAGATTTTCTTCCTTACTCTGGCGTGCTTGTGAAGGCGAGGCTCAGGTGGAAAGCTGAAGGCAGGCGGAGCTTAGTGTGACCCTTGGTGAGGGCTCAGGTATCCTTTGATGAAGTAAGTCTGTCGTCAGTTCTGCAGTGAAGGCATTCCCATCAACCTGCCTAGGGGCCACGGACGTCTCAAGGTGGCCGCCTCCAAGTCTGTATTTACCACCTCCCCAGCTCAGTCATTAATTCCCTCCTTTTCTGTGCCCAGAGCATCACGGTCCTCCGTGAGGATGTCCTACAGCTTAGAGGTCTGTCTAGTTAGCGCCACTCTGTCCATGTCCCCTGCACCTTGGGGAATTCTCAGTTACTGTGCAGAATGCTGCCTTGGGTGGGGCGTGCTTGCCTCTGTGAGTGATTCCTCCCACTGCATGCCATCCCTTGAACTTCGTAGGAGGGAGCTGCAGTCCCTCCCTCCGTCCCCATCAGCATTGTCTCCTAACACGGCATTGTGGCTGTTGTCCTTTGCACACAGCAGCATGCATCAGCTGAGAAGAGCTATACATGATGCCTTTCTGGATATGATGCAATCTTTATTGCCCCAGTTGGGTGGGCCCTCTCCACCCTAACCTCTCTTCATCTGAGCCCTGGCTGGTCATCCAACGGGAAATGGACCTTCCAGTCCTCCCACTGGCTCACTTATGTCTTGGCTCTTGCCATGAACAGTGTTGTTGACTTTTCATGATGTCAGTCTCCATTATGGACGCTGTGGGGACTTCATTCCCTCTACTGCCAGAGTCACCATGTCCAAAACAATCCCTTGACACACGTCTTTTAAAATAGTTAAGCGCCTCAGAAGTAGTTAACTCCTCAGGGAAAGTGTAGCAGCCCTTTGCTGCTGATCAAATATCACGTGTGTTCTCCCCGCCCCGCCCCCACAATACTGCTGCAAGGCGGAAGATGACCATGGAAGAGCAACTGTAAGTCTCTCTCCTCCGTGTTCCCATGCAGGACTTACAGCTCTTGGAGGATGGGGATCTGACTGTGATAGGAGACCGGGGAGCCACGCTCAGCGGAGGGCAGAAGGCGCGGGTGAACTTGGCAAGGTAACTTGTCTTCCAACAGCCGCCGCGTGCGTATGTCTAGATGAAGCTTCAGAAGGTGGGGCTTGTCTGTCTGCGCTGGTTTTCAGTAGTTCCATACACAGTTTGAGTGGACATCCGGTCACTGAGCACCGTTGACCCCAAGACAGCGGCCAGCGAGGTGCTCCTCGTCTGATTTCTCTCTTCCCCTTGCAGGGCAGTCTACCAAGATGCCGACATCTACCTCCTTGATGATCCGCTGAGCGCTGTCGATGCAGAAGTGGGAAAGCATCTGTTCCAGCTGTGAGTTTGTTCTGTCCAGGAGCCCTTTCAGATGGTCCCCATGAAGGATCTGTGAATTCTACTGCCTCTCCTGGGCTGTCCCCTCCCTCTCCTCTGTTCCAACCCATAGGACCCATTTTACAAGTACAAGATCAAGGCAGGAACACAGGGAAGGTTCAGTCAGTGTGGCGGAGCGCACAGAGCCCGTGTTTTAGGGATTCAAAACAGAAGGCATATTCTGGACACCTTTCCTTTAGCTCCTTGATGTTCATGGCCAGCCCCCCAGGAAGAGAAGGGCGTGGCTTGGATACTGGGAAGTGAGGAGTGGGCTCTTTTCCTCTTGACTTAAAAATAATTTACTTTGTTGGGATGTATGTGTGTATTTGTGTGTGCATGGATATGTGTCTGGTTAATGAATGCTCCGTGTGTATCGGTGCCCGAGGAGGCCAGAGAGGGGATTAGATTCCCTTGGAGCCTGCCTTAGAGGTGGTTGTGAGCCAACTGACATGGGTGTTGGCTACCAAACTCTGGTCCTCTGTAAGTGCTCTCTCTTAACTGGCCATCTCTCCAGCCCCTCCTTCCTAAGTTCTTACTTTGTGTGAGCATTGAGACTTGAGTGGTAGCTCAGGGCCTGGGTGGAAAGGCCTTACTGGTTTCTGTTAAACTGTAGGCTGGGAGGTTGGGGGGCATTGAGAATGGGATTTCATTCCTTCAGGTAAAAGGATCGGTAGGTGTAGGTATAAAGGCATGGACAAGGAAGGTACCAGAAGAGAGTGGCAAGTGGGCAGGCACATTACCCCTCAGGGGAGGTGCGGAGTTTATGGTGGATTGAGAGCCGCAGAGACGCTAACTTGCAGTTCCTGTCTTCGTTAACTCTGGGCGCCAAAATAAAACGCTCCAGATTGCGTGACTCTCACAGCAGAATGAGCCATGGGGGTGGAAGTCTGAGGTTAGGGTACGTTGTGTCTGTCCCCAGATTTCCCTTCTCCAAAGGCCACCGGTCAGGCTGGCTTAGGGCCACCCTCACAGCCACTCTCAACTTCTTCTCTGAAGGCTCCGCCTTTAAACCATTGGGCGCTGAGGGGAGCGGGGTTCAGTTTGTAACAGATACTCAAGCAGAGTGAAAACGATGACAATCTAGGCTCTGGATTCTCGGAGAGGGGAGTGACTGCTTCCACAGCCGCGTGGGAGAGGAGTGTGTGTGTGCGTGTATGTGTGTGTGTGAATGTGTGTGAGAGAGTGTATTGCATGTGTGTGCGTGCATGTGTGGTATGTGTGTGTGCATGCGGGCACATGTGTGAGTGTGTGTGCGCGTGTGAATGTGTGTCTTGTGTTGTGGTTAGGAAAGCGTTCTGGCCCTGGATGGATGTGATGGTTGGGCAGCAGTGTGGATGTCCTTTATGCTCTGGCTAAGACACTTATAGCGGCTAAGGTAGTGACTTTCCTGGTGTGTGCGTTTTACTACCACAGAAATAAAAACACATGCCAGGTAGTGTGGGGTAGTTCCGAATGCAGAAGACGGGAGCAGCTGGCCCCTGGCCTTGGCCCAGCTCTGATCTGACCCGCTTTCCTGTCGACTGTTGATTGTGCCGTGATGGATTTTGCTCTGGGCAGAACCAGCCCTTGGTTGCTTGGGTGAACCTTGAGTGGATCCACTCAAGTTCCCCATTGCTCAGAGACTAATTCTTGGCGGGATGCTCTAGTGGAATCCCTTGGGAGGGGAGAGGGGGGCGTTTCGATCGCTGGGCATCGGTGTGCAGGTCACAAGGATGCCCCCAGGTTTCCCTTTGAGCATGGGTGTTTATATAAAACCTCCTCTTGCACCCTTAATGTTTAAGGGCTCTGGATAGACACCTGATAGAAGCAAGCTTGTTAAAACTGTTGCTTGCTAATCAGAACCACATTCTTTGGGGGTAAACTTGGAGCGGGAGGCACGAAGGCAATTTAGGAAATCACTCAGCAGCAGCTGGAGAATGCTCCCAACGAGTTAGAAAATTGGATTGAACAATGCGCTCTGAAAGACGGCGGTTGTGTGGCAGTTTAGAAATGTGAAGCGTTTTGTATTGAACGTGAATGATCACTCTTCCCTTTGCCGATAGTGGTTTTAGCCCAGTCACAAATACACACCCAAGATTATTAAGTTTTTCGAGTTTCACAACTGTGTGTTTGCAGGCGTAGGGAACCCAGGGACTCTAGACTGATGCCAGTTTGATCTAGCTGTGGCTTGTGCGTTTTAGAAAGTCTCAAAATTACAGATGCCTGTCTCTGCCATGATCAGTTCAGGGCTGTCCTGGTTAGAGCTCCCACATGGCTGCCTGCCCCGTCAGCTTAGTATATGCATTTCTTAATTGATAAGGGCTGCTATGACAAAATGCCATATCTGGGTGACTTAGAAACAACAGAGGTGCATTTCTCATGGCTGCGGAGGCCGGAAGAGCCTGAGTTGAAGTGCTCACAGATTTGATGTCTCATGGGAACTTGGTGACAGAAGTCACCTCCATCCATGGGTTATTTTTTGTAACCAACACAAACCCAGTGCAAGATGGCAGATTGCCGTGAAAAAGCCGCGCCTGTTCGTGCCATTGCAGCGGTGATTAGTTCTCAGCGCGTGAACGCGTGGAAAGACAAAAGCCTTCAGCATCCCGCAGTGGCTCACCGTCTCTGCTTCGGTTTGTTTTTTTACACACATTCTCACCACTGGGATGCAGTCTCAGGTTCTAGAATGGAAGGCGTTGTTCTTTGCAATCTGACCCACCGCCATGCCATTCCCCACGCAAGCTAGAACTCCAGCATGCATACGTTTATGTTGGCATGTTGAACGACGCATGCCCTTTTCACACCTGCCTATTGTCCAGCTGGTGTCTATCAGGAGGAAGGACGGACACAGGCCTGCATGGCTGACTTTCTCTCCTGCGTCTCCAGGAAGCATTATACTTCTCTCTGTGTCTGGCAGGTGCTCGTAGCCCAAAGCACTCAACGTGGGGTGCTGAATTATTTTGCCCTTCAAGCCCATACTGGACTTAGTACATAGAAGCACCCTAGAACGTGGCACCCCACGGGGGACTCAGCACCCCACGGGGGACTCAGCACCTGGCTGTATTGCTGTTGTTAGCTCCTTGCAGAAAAGCCTCCTTCTCCCACACTTTCTAACATAGCAGCTCTCACCTTGCTTTTCCTCACGGCTGGCTCACATCATGCCACCACGATGCGTTTCCCGTATTTGCCATGCCTCCCCCACATGAGCCTGGGCGTTGTTGGTTTACTTGGCCAGTGGGCGTATTCTCAGCCCCCGGTGTCTGGCACTCTGCATAGCCAATAGATGAATCCACGCACTTACTGACTCTGTCCTCCTGTGCGCGGCCCTGAATCCTCTGCTGTGGCACGTGGGGCTACAGTGGTTCCGTCAGCTCTTTGTGGTTCTCGTAGAGGATCAGAATTAAGTGTGAGCCAGTCAACATCGGTGTGACACAGGACAGCACTGAGGCGTGTCCTACATCGTTTTAATAACTTGGGAGGCAGAGGATTCTTCGAGTTTAGTATATTTGGGCCAATCTAGGCAACATACCAAGTTTTTCATTTCTATTAATTAATGTATACACCGTAAGTGGGCACCTAAGCAGGCATCTAAGGAAAATATCCCCCTAAACAAAAAGTCTGTTTCTTTAGGATTCCTGTTCCACACACAATAAGGTAATTATAACGTTAGTCAAGTCATGTTTTAGAATACTAGTACCGTTAAACTGCTTTTATTATGTATCACGCCAATTTCATTTTTTTGGGGGGTTATATAATGTGTAAATATGTGTAATTCTTAAACGAATATTTAGAAGAGAAGCTAGCAGGCACAGCCTTTCCTACTGGCTACTCGTCAGGGTTTGTTAGAGCAAGGGTCAGGTGCTGTGTGTGGTGGACCTGGATACTTTGCCCTTATTAGTAACGCATGTTTGTATTCGATTCCCAGGGCTCATTTCCATTACGTTTTAGTCCCGTCTGTGTGTCTGTGTGTGGGTGTGTGGACTTAAGTGTAGGTGCCCTCAGGGTCCAGAAGGGGGCCCTGGCTCCCCGGAGTTGGAGTTACTGGTTGCTGCGAGCTGCCCATGCGAGTGCTGAGGACCAAACTTGATTCCTCTGCAAGGACAGTGCTAGCCCTCCTCTCCAGCCCGATCTAGTTTGTATCTCTACCTCTTTCAGAGGACACCTCCTTGTCTTTGTCTCCTCGTGGCTGGAGCGCTTATTTTGCAGTTTGGAGAACGCCGCTGATGTGTTTTCTCTTTCTCCATCCTCTGGTTACCTTTACACCTGTAGGTGCATCTGCCAGACCCTGCATGAGAAGGTCACCATTTTAGTGACGCACCAGCTGCAGTACCTGAAAGCTGCCAGCCACATCCTGATATTGAAAGATGTAAGTCATTACTTGCTTTTTACAAGCGGAGTTGGGGTTTGTCAAGGGATTTCCGTACGGGTTTTAAGCAGCAGCAGTGTTCAGAGAAGGGAGAGTCTTTGAGAAGAAACCCAGATACACCCAAGAGCAAGGCTATGTGCTTCCCAAAGGACTTAGAGTCCACTGAACCAGCTGGAACCTCAGGGGAAAGTGGGCCCGTCAGGCTGCTCTCTGTGCACTTCTTGGGAAGCTGCCTTCCTTCCCCCAGTCTCACACTCGTTTCCTAGAGTTGAGATTCACCCGAGGATAGCCGAAGGACTCTTATTAATATCACTGTGAGGGCTGGGGGTGTGGCTCCGTTGGCAGAGTTAACCACAGTGGGATGCCTAAGACTGGGCACTTTCCCCCTTTCATTGAAAATAGGTTTTCTTTTCTTGTGCAATTTATCCTTATTACAGTTTCCCCTCCCTCTGTGCCTCCCGGTTCCTCCCTCCCTCCTCTCCCCTCTGGATCCAGTCTCTTCCTGTACCTACTTAGAAAAGAACAGGCTTGGTCTGGAGGGATAGCTCAGCCGTTAAAGGCTAGGCTTACAACCGTAAATGTAAGAAAAGAAACAGGCTTCTGAGAGATACCAACCAAACATAACAAGATAAAATACAATAGGATAAAACACAAAGCACTGCATCCAGGTTGGAGAAGGAAAATCAGGAGAAGGAAAAGAACCTGAGAGGAGGCGCAAAACACCGAACTGAAAGCTGTGCTCTATATGCAGAGGGACCTGGTGCAGACACCTGTGCAGGCCCCTGCAGGCCTGTGCTGAACCATGCAGGCCCGTGCAGGCCCCTGCAGACCTGTGCAGGCCAGTACAGACCCGTGCAGACCCGTGCAGACCCGTGCAGACCTGTGCAGACTTGTGCTGACCTGTGCAGGCCTGCAGTCCTGTGCAGACCCCTGCAGGCCCATGTAGACCAGTGCATACCTGTGTAGACCCCTGCAGGCCCGTGCAGACCGGTGCAGACCAGTGCAGGCTCATGCAGACCTGCAGTCCTGTGCAGACCCCTGCAGGCCCATTTAGACCTGTGCAGACCCATGCAGGCCCGTGCAGACCCATGCAGACCTGTGCAGACCCATGCAGGCCCTGTGCTTGCTGCTTCCCTCTCTGAGGTCCAAGGAGCCTTGCTCAGTTCACTCAGAGCTGCTTCTCCCCGTGTCCTCCACCCATCTGGCTCTTATTCTCTTCCCACCTCCTCTTCTGCAGGCTTCCCTGAGCTCCAAGGGGAGGGCTTTGGTGGGGAAGAAGGGTCACTCTTATAAGGAGAGAGGGTCAAGGACACAGGGCCTTCCCGGGCTCCATTCTGAAAGGCCTTTCCGGCTGCTGCTGTGGAGGAAGGGCACAAGGAGGCGCTCACACACTGAGAAACAGCGCCAGAGATGCTGAGGTTGCACAGTCCCTTCAGGGGTCAGGGCTTCCTACCAGAGCCCCCTCCGCCTCCCAAAGGTTCCAGAACCTCCCAGTAGTGCCAACCCTCGGGACCAAGCCTTTGGTCACACAGATAGTTTAGGACCCCAAACCGTAGGGTCCTTCTGCAGTCTCTTGGCCAAAGATGGAATTCACAAATGAATGTTAGCCAGGGTTGACAGTATTTGCATGCGGTTACTCTCAGAGAGATAAAGCACCCATTATTGTGGCAAGCAGGCTGGGTGAGGGTAGTGGAGTGTCTGTGAAAAGTCCTCTGGCGCCCCCACAATACACCAAAGAGAGACGAGGGGGCTGCCAATCAAAGTTGCACGGAACCAACTCTTACCACAGAGATTGCATGAGGCAGGGTGACTACCCCCTTAGCAACAACTTAGTGTGTCGGCTGTCTTCTGGGCTCCTGCGAATTGGAGCTCAGGTTCTTCAAGCCGGAAAACAATTAATTTCGTGTGCAGAGAGCTGGATATTCTGCCTGCAGGGTCAGGAGCTATAGAATAGTTTTGCCACCTCTGCCCACATGGCGACTGCTTTTGAGACCCTGCCTCCTGCACGTTGCGAGTTTTATTTTTAGCACACAAGAATTCATTTACTCACTCTCAGGGACGCTGGAGAGACTGACACCCACTCTTATTATTAGTCTGGCCCCCTCTAACAGCAGAGAGGGTGGGCCCTCTCTGAGTTCCTAAAGCCTGTCTTCGGAATTGTTCCCTTCCCACGTGTGTTTTCCTGACAGGAAGGTCGAGACTACAATAAGCAAGTGTACAAATCAAATCTTATCTCATAAGTGTGACAAGACACGGTGTTTCAGGAAAAGCTTTCTAATCCGCAGGGGACCGGGCTATTATAAGCCCACAGCTACTGTGATTTTCCTCAGTGGACCACCTTGGTTGGGGTGGGGGTTGGGGGAAGACCGAGAAGTAAGAAGGTGGGGTCCAGAGCCATTTTTTTCTAACCTGACCCGTCCTCAACTTCAGCCACTCTCCTTTGATTCAGGGCCCCCAGGACTTCATCCGGTATTAATTTGTGGCTTTCAATAAATCATCTGGGGGCTCGCCTGCCTCATGTGGTCAAACACTGTGAAGATATTTCAGTTTATTGTCTATAACTGTGGTCAGGAAGGAAACACCGGATTAGCTGTCCTATGGAATGTTGAGCCTTCAGCCAGGATCTTGAATTGGGGCGGGGAGGGGGTAGTTTTAGTCTAAGACCATGAAGTGTGCATATGTCTTGTTCCAGAGGGGGCAGGTGGCCAGCTCAGGCAGGGTGAGTGTGTCCTGCCTAGGTGGAGATGCTCATGACACCGCCCTGTCAATCAGACTTCCCTCAGTCTGAGTCCCCCATTTCTGTGATGTCAGGAAAGACCCTGTGAACTCCCCCCGCCCTCTACGCTTTTTGCTTCCTTCAATGCCCGTGGTATTTGGGTCATAAGGCACAATGACACGTTGTTTTTGTATTGCCAAACACCTAGAATTTGGCAGAAAACAGTATTCTCACTTAGGAGGCAAGCTGAGTTACTCCATCCTTGGCAACCAGGGCTCCGGACCCAAGAGCGACGGTAACTTAAGGCCGGCTGAGTGTGGTTTGGTTAGATCAGCGTTGTTAAGTGCCAGAGTCTGTCTCTGAGATCCCTTTCGTTTTAGGGTCAGGTGGTACAGAAGGGGACTTACACGGAGTTTCTGAAATCTGGCGTCGACTTTGGCTCCCTCCTAAAGAAGGAGAACGAGGAAGCGGAACACTCCTCAGCTTCAGGAACTCCAACACTCAGGAAACGGACTTTCTCCGAGTCCTCCATCTGGTCCCAGCAGTCGTCCAGGCCCTCTTTGAAAGATGGGGCTCCAGAGGGCCAAGATGTGAGTTCACCTTGTGTCGGTCGTCGTGTGCTCTCTTTGTTCTTAGGGACCTTGTGACCCTTTTGAGTCTCTCTATTGGTGGCAATTTCATTTGTCCTAATGTTGAGCCTGTGAGTCCAAAGTGTCACTCAGTCTCATTGGCAGCATTAAAACAGAGTTAAGGGAGAGACCCTGGCTGTGGCTCTGTCCCGGGTATGGGCTGCAGAACCCCACAGACAACCATCGTGGTTATGTTACGAGAAGCTCCAAGGGTCTCTGCGGCTCCCGGATGCCTGGAGTCTAGAATTCACCATGGCCAAATCTGGGGATCCCAGGCTTTGCTTTTGCATCCTGAGACTAAACAGGAAGAACACTTCAGAGCCCTGGTGTTCATCCTTCCTAATGCTACAACCCTTTAATACAGTTCCTCATGTTTTTGTGACCCCCCCCCCAACCATAGCATTATTTTTGTTCCTACTTCATAACTGTAATTCTGCTACTGTTATGAATCATAATGTAAAATCTGTGTTTCCCAGTGGCCTTAGGTGACCCCTGTGAAAGGGCCGTTCAACCCCCCCCCCCCCGCAAAAGGGTCAAGACCCTTGGGTTAAGAACCATTGCCTTAGACTCTTGCTGTGGTCAGAATGCACGAGTTACTTTTTGTTATTTGTTGGGTGTTAACAATGTAGGTGGCCGACAGGAGTTACATGCTCTATTTTGGATGCTTTTTGTAGGTTAAGAAGGACGCGGATCTGGTGACTTTAGCACAGGACAGACTTTTAGGCTTAGTCACTATTTCTTCCCTATTCTAGCCCGAGGGCCACAGCTTATTCCTCACCGAGTGCCCAGCAGCCAGCATAGGCCTGAGTGTTTCTTCAGCTTTTGTGAATCTGTACCATATCGAGAGCTTTTCAGGATAATATACACCACTGCTCCTTTAAAGAGAAAGCCACCCTTGGAGTTGGCATGGTCTGGGACTGGGACTGAGTTAAATTTGCTTCTGTAAAGGTGGCATGTGTGCTTTTGCATATTTTAATCCATCTCTAGATTACTTACGATTCCCAGTACAACATAAATGCTGTATAAACAGTTGCCGCATGGTATTACTAGGACGTGGTACAAAAGGAAAAGGAAAAATGTTCACAGGTGTTCAGGACAGGTGATGAATTCCCCCCTCTGAATGTTTTCAGCTTGCAGTTGTGGAACCCAAGCGTGCCACGTCTGACCGCCCAAACCCTCGTTCATTCTCCAAGTCTAGGAGCCTGGATAACTCTGATATAAACGAGTATGCTGTTCTCGTCTCGTGTCCAGGTTCCTGCTCAGTTGCCGTGTTTGGCTGGCAGTTTGAGGCATCCGGTCATTCTTCTCCGCGTTGAATTCAGAGCCTTGCACGTCCTAAACACGCGCCCTACGCAGACTCACACTCTTATTCCTACCCCGCCCTCTTCCATTGACAGTAATGTTTTGGTTCACGTCCTTTCGCGATTGTCTTGAATCTGGGTGACGGGCACGAGCTAGAAACCATGCCTCTGTGCTCCAAGCAAAGACATGCACAACAAGCAGATTCCCCCGAGAGGACTTGGTCCAGGGTGCATAGGTTCTTTTCCAGACTGGATTGATGTTGGCGATGGAGAATCACCGTTTTGATTCCCACTAGCAACGAGTCATTTACCTGTTTCCCTGGAGCCTTGTGAACGATCAACGCTTGAAGACTTTTTGTGTTACCGTTTTGCTCACCCGCCCTTCCCTTCACAGGCGGAAGATACCCAGGCAGTGCAGCCGGAGGAGAGCCGTTCCGAAGGCAAGGTTGGCTTCAAGGCCTACAAGAATTACTTCGCTGCTGGCGCATCTTGGGTTTTCATCATTTTCCTTATCCTGCTGAACGTGGCAGCTCAGGTACGTGATGACATCCGTGCCCTCAGGATGATGCTTACACACACACCCATTTGTGCATGATTGATGCATGGAATTACGTCGAGGTAGCTGTCTGGAGGGGAATAACATTCGTGACGCCAGCTAGCTGGGGTTGAAAGTGTGTAGAAGCAAAAGATGGGGTTGCTCTGTAAGATCTTAACCACGACACCTTGTCTGGGGAGTAGGGTTTGGCACAGACCCGGGCCTGCCGGGACTGTACTAGTGTCTCAGAGACCTCCTCTATGCCCCACATCTTAGTCATCCCGGGTGTCAGGTTTGGAAGTCATTCATGCCGACGTCATATTTCATCTCCTTTGCAGGTTTTCTATGTCCTTCAGGACTGGTGGCTTTCCTACTGGTGAGTTGTTCCCGTCCGGGGTAGCGGCTGTAAGAGCCATTTTCCTACCGGTTACAGGCAGAGTGGGGTTCTATATCCTGAGTCACCTGAAGAGAAAGAGTCGGGTGGGGGTGGAGTGTGGCCTACGGTGACCTTTACACGCACCTGCTGCGAGCTGAGACCTGAACACCAAGATTCACATTGATGTTTTTATTTGTTTGCTTGTTTTTATTTCAAGACGGGGTTTCTCTGTGTAGACCTGGATGTCCTGGAACTCACTCTGTAGATCAGGCTGGCCTCATACTCACAGAGACCCACCTGCTTCTGCCTCCTGAGTGTGGGATTTATTGTGTGCACCACCACTGCGTGCGTGCGTGCGTGTGTGTGTGTGTGTGTGTGTGTGTGTGTGTGTTTTGATTGCATATATATCTGTGTACCGTGTGTGTCTGGCAGCTGCAGAGGCCAGAACAGAGCACCAGATCCCTGGAACCAGAATTATAAACAATTGTGAGCCACCGTGTGGGGGCTGAGAATCAAACCCAGGTCCTCTTATAGGAAATGCTCTTAACCACTGACCCATCTCTCCAGCCCAATTCAGACTAATTTTAAAAGACAGATACGCAAAGAATTATGTGAGCTGAGAATCGTTTTCTAGCATAGGACCTTTCTCTCAAATGGAGGTTCCTTTTTTAAAAAAATATTCTCCTAATACATTTTCCTTCCACATTTCTTCCATAGGGCGAACAAACAAGGCACTCTGAATAACACGGAAAATACTAACGGAAATGTAACCGAGACCCTAGATCTTAACTGGTACTTAGGAATTTACTCAGGTAAAGTTTAGCCATAGGGTCTATTACACGAGAGCCCGAGGTGCTTGCGATGGGCCTGCGTGAGCTACCAGAGCTCCTAGGAGTAAATTCAGCAGCGTCTTAACAGATTAGGAGACTGAGTCGCATTTACTCTCTGAATTAATTAGAATAATAATTTTTTTTTTTTTTAAACTACCGGAAGAAAGAGGTTGAATGGAGACTCTTAATTTGTTTTATAGTGGGTTTTGAAAGTTAAACTAGGACTGAGCGTTCAGGAAACCAGCCACTGGAACTATGTGGCTATTGTCTATTCTAATAGGTTGCTCTCGCTAACTCTTCTATCATTGTGTGGACGGGCAGGGGATTAGAAACGGATCCCAGCCCTGTGTGCTCCAATTCTGTCTGGATAAGCCCATGCCTTTATTGCACTTGGATGGAATCCTGTGGCAGCAAGGCCCCCAGATAAAAGCCTTATCCCCTCACAGGTATACTGAGTTCCCTCCAGCACACGGCTCATCTCTTGGGCTTCATTAATTGCTGAAGAGGGAGGCTAAGCAGGGAGAAACCCAGTGTCTAGGAATTAGGGTCCCTTCTCTTTCCCACCTCGAGATCAACAATGTTACCGTGTCTCCAACCGTGTGATTAATTGAACATTTGGTTTGCCGGACTAATGTTAACTCCACACTCTGGTGTCCCAAGACTGCCTGTGTAGTGTGTGTAGAGTTATCTTCTTTAAAAAGAAAATCCTCACCTAAAGTTTTCAAACATTCCCACAGGAAACACTCACTCCGGCTTTCCTTGGACAGAGCGAATTATCTGCTAGAACCCACTCACCAAGATTTGGTACTTAAGTTGTTGATCCCTTGCTAAGAAATCTTAATCCACTGACTGGTTAACACCCCGACTGGTGGAGTATGCAAGACCTAAAGGGAAATAGGTCCATTATCTATTCAAGTGGGCTGGGCGGCTGAGGAAAAATGCCTGTGCGTAGAGTTTTAGCACTTAAGCAGCTTTCAGAGGTTAGATAATAACACTCTGACATCAGTTCAGGATGGCGCGGTGAGCTAAAAGCTAAGAGACGCTGTGGAGGACGGAACTTAGGGTCGTAGTTCAGTGGTAGAATGCTTGCCCCATACGTGTAAAGACGGTACATCCCCAGCGACACACGGCACACTCCTCACCACACACACATATCTGTGCAGAGTGGTCACCCAAGCGCGCCTTAATTAGACGTACCGTTTAAATAGTGCTCATTTAAAACGCATCGTGCTTGTATGAGACATGTGGCTGCGATTAGCTAACTTGCTCATTTAATTATCACGCGTTAAGACACCATTTGTGTTTTCTCACAAACCAGCCTTTTAAAAGTTTTCCCATGTGCAGCTTAACGTGGAGGTTTCGAATTCCTTAAAGCTACTTGGGCATTGACCACAAGGAAAAGTTAACCCTCTTCTCTGTTAGTATCAAAGCCACTGCCGTGTTAGGGCTATGGGGTTCACATGCAGTCGTTGGATGTGGAGAAATATGGTTACATTTCGTCCGAGTCTTTACTAGAACATGCAGTTTATTTATTAAAAGCCTGCCGTATTTTCCACATTCGTATTTTCCATTCAGTGAGGGAAAAGATTTTTTAATTTTTGTCAGTGTGTCTTATAAATGCGTCGTACTTAGGTGGGGCCTAGGTGTTTATATAACGAAATAAGTAATATATTCGTAGACTAATCCAACCTACTGTGGCATTATGGCAGAGAATGTAAAGGTCCTGTGTTCTCTGGGTCATTTCCCTCTGTTTCAGGCCTAACGGCCATTACCGTCCTCTTCGGCATCGCAAGATCCCTGCTGGTGTTCTATGTCCTTGTGAAAGCTTCCCAGACGTTGCACAACAGGATGTTTCAGTCAATCCTGAAAGCTCCAGTCTTATTCTTCGACAGAAATCCGATAGGTAAGTCGCAGGCCGAGTCCCCCAGTAAATGTGTCTTGCTGACACGTCGAAGATCTGATGACATTTCCTTTCCGTCTTCGAAAGGGGAGGTGGATGTTGACAGAAAAATCTCTCTGCATGCCTGTTTGTTTTCCACAGTAAGCTTCCCTGGTAGATATTCAGTTGCATAGAAGGTGTAACGAGACATCTATCTGTTGTGGATGGTTCTTGTTGCCAGCGGGGTCCCACAGCCTTGTCAGCCCCAGATAAACATATGGACAGTTATAAAACTGTTGGCCGGCGGCTTGGGCTTCTTATCGGCTAGCTCTGTCTTAATGATTAACCCATTTCTATTAATCTATGTATTTCCATGTGGTCTTGGCTTACCGGAGAAGGGTCTGGACCTGTTACTCCTTTGGCATCCAACATGGCTCTGCCTACGTTTCCCAGAATTCTCCTCGTCTCCTAGTCCCACCTATCTCCCCGCCTCTGTTGATCACAGCGTTTTATTTATCCACCAGTAAGACAAGCATGTATATGGAAGGGCATCCCCCATCATCTGTCTGCACTCAGTTTGCAGAGTGGGCCGTGCACCCTGCCGTCTCCTGGCTTAAAGAGCTCGCTGCACACCGCAGGCAGGTAGAACCTGCTTGCACAGCTGCTAAGACTCCGGTTGTGTTCACACCACCGTGGCCTGTACTGTACTGCCTCCTTAGGAGGAGCCCTCCCTGAGCAGGGGATGAGGGGCTGTGTGCTTGCCTCTTTCATTTCTTGAAGTGTGAGGACTTGACCATGAGGTTGACCTGACCGGTACTAAAGATCGAAGCCCCAAAGTGTGGTCACCCCAGTAAAAGTTTCTGACTGTGTCTTACCTCACTTGTTATTATATAATATGATGCAAATAAAGATATGATTTATTTAGTATTCCGAGATAGCCCCTTGCCACTGTAGCCCTGGCTGGCCTGGGAGTCACTATGTAGACCAGGCTAACCCTGAGCTGGTGATAACTCTCTTGCCTTTCCTCACAAGTGCTGAGATCCGGGAGTGCCCCACTGTTAAAGGCCCGTTTAAGTCTGTTTTTAAAACGAAGAAAACAGCAAGACTCCCCCTCCCCCGCCCCTCCCCCGCCCCTCCCCCCCGCCCCCGCCCCTCCCCCCCCGCCCCCTGCCCCGGCTTTCCTTCTTCGTCATCACCGGTAACTCTCTTAACTCTTAACTCTGTGGACTTTGGTTGTATTCCAGAGTCTTTGTCCCGAAGACATGCCCTGAACTCGGTGCCTTCTCCTGGTGGGCGGGGCCCCCACACGAAGGTCCTCCTCACCCACTTTGCCTCTGCAGGTACCTCCTTGGGCCGGACCCCTAGCAGTGTTAGTCATCCCCGTGGTCATGCGGGGTGAGTAGTGAGGCCTGGGGCAGCCGTGTGTGCGCAGGTGATTATTATGGGGCCCGCTGTAGAGGCAGCTGGCCTGGAGGGGTCACGGAGGACAGGCTGGCCATCAGATAGCTGCTGGACCTGGAGCAAAGCCCAGGGATGACACCGGAGGCGGAGTTTTCACAGTGGGGTGCATTGGGTAAAAGCCTGGACCCCGTGTCAGTGGCCACCTAGACACCAGCTCCTTGCGAGAGCCCCTGTTACAGCTGTGACTGACGATGCGCCTAGGCCAGCTGACTCAGTCTCCCCGTGCCTTGGCGTCCCCATGTGTGACATGGGAACAATATCCACACCCATCTCCTTGGAAACTGAGACTTAAGCAGCCAGTCCCCGGAGAGACTGAGTGACAGGGACAGTGGCCCCGGAGTTCCATGTTCTACCCGTGGCGTGGAAGCACCAATTCTGACTTTTTCTGTCTCACGCGATTGTCCTGGGGGTAACATGAGGCGAGACGGTTCTGCCAGGCGTCAGTCATGTGTCCACCCATCCCACAGATGCTACCTACTCTGGGCACGAGAATAGTGAAGCGCAGATGCCTCATGAGGTCTGGCTGGGGCTGTGCTCAGAAGGTAGCTGGGGGGGTTGGGCGCCGTGAGGGTCCTTCCTGCTCAGCCAGTTGACTGGAGGGCTTCGCGTACGCCTGGAACGTTTAGCTGGTGTTAGCCGGCTGTGTTGCCAGTCTGTCCTGGTCCTTCTCACCAGCCTCTTTGCGTTCGTGCTCGAGACCCATGAGCTTTTCCTGGTCCTGATTTTATGATTGATTTGAGGGGTTTACGGCCAGTCTAAATCTTGGGTAACTAATCTTACATCAAGTCGGAAACGTTCATTCTGCTTCTGATTGCCGTATCCATTATCAGGGCATTCTCCCGGCAGTGAAAGCCGAGTCCAAATAAACACCGAAAGACAGACCGCAAGTGTAAGCATGAATTATTCACCTTTTGAGTGGAGTTCTTAAAAAGAAAATGGAAAAAAGCTTTTTAAGACTTCAGTTCCCATTTGAACAACATTATGCACATTTTACCGTGGTGAAGAGATACATCGAAGGCAACAATTGTGCTGTGTTAGCCTGATTAATTTTAATTACTTATGTACTGACGTGGTTATTAAACATAGGATGTGTACAGAAGCATCCCTGTTAATGCCGTATCTCCTTAGTTAGCGTGTTTTCTTGGCAATGTAAAGACACAAGAAACGCATCTTTAAAAATGTTTCTTCACAGACAGCCCCCAGGAGCCCCTGAGGTGAGCAGGAGTTTCCTACCTGCATCACAGCACCCTCCCTGACCTTAGACAACTTCAGGGACTAGAAGGATTTTTGCCAGCATATGCTATCTAGTAAGCTAGACACAGGGGTAGGTCTGTACAGAAACCCCTCTGGGGTCCCACAGCTCTGTGCCCTGTCTCCTCTCGGCCCTCTGATGTGGCTTAAAGCCAGCTCGGGGCTGAGATCTGGCCCGTCCATCCCTTCTCGAGTTGCCACTTGTCTCCGAATCCCAGCCACTGTATTGGGGAAGTTAAAAGCGTCCTGTTCTTCTGTCATGGTTTGCCCTGCTCTCCACACAGGACCTTTGTACTTGTCCAGAGACGCGGGCCTTCTGTGGAGGCTGCTCCACTGGCCTCAGAGCCAGCACCCCAAGTTTCTGACTGGCATCTAAGGAGAGAGTGGGCTAAACCTGAAGGCGTAGGCTTGTTCTCCTCTAGGATAACATTGTCATCCCTTGTGGTGGCTGGTGACGAAGCTCACGCCTTAGTCCTAAGATGTGAAGTTGCTCTCGCTGTAGAATCCCTGTGTGAGTGTGCAGAGTTCGTCACGGTGTGTTATATAACATGGCCCTGACTGTTAACTCATGCTTCATAGTCCCGTAAATCTTAAGCTCACAATGAGGATCAATTTTGAACCCCAAGTGTCTGCCTGACCTTAGATTGCTGAGAGCCAGCTTGCCTTTCCATTTTCCGCGCCACGTGTTTTCCTGACCCCTCTTTGTTTCCTGTCTTCTCCCTCGAGGTGTCCCGTGATGGCTTGCACCTCTGCAGGGCCTCGCCTTGGGCTCACCGCTCGGCTTTCCCACGTTTGAATTGGAATTGCATTTGAATCCTGTCTATAGTCACTTTCCGATTCCCTCTTCAGAATGTGTCTCCCGCCGTAGCATTTCGGTTCAAGAAGATGGTGATAAACAGGGCCACACAAATTCTGGGTGTGGAGTGTTAGCATCCCGTTTCTCTTGTGATCTCTAGCAGGCGCCCCTTTCCGGGGAGCCAGGCCATTCTGGACACTGGGCACCAGGGGGCAGCATGAGCTGTAGAATCGCAGGGACAGAGCCCCAGAGCCATTGCGTGGCCAAACCTGGGTTTGCCAGGAAAGCTTTCTTCTTGGAAATTTGTCCTTTTCCAGAAAACGTTAAGGGAATCCTCTCCCCCAGCCCCCATTCACATGACCGGAACATCAAGCTACATTAAAGAAATATTTGCGTGCTGCTTGAGATCACCCAGCGTTGCAAAGTGGATGTTCTGATCCCCAGGTTCTGATCCCCAGTGGACACTTTCTGGAGCAGACCGTGGAATAGGCAGGGACTGTCCCCGTGGCTAGATGTGTGCTATTTCCTGAAGGGTCGGTGCTGACCGACTGCTGTTTTCCTTAAGGGAGAAAGATGAGCACGCTGTCTGGGTGTTATTTCCACATCACCTGAATCCCCAAGAGTGGCCGGCTGGTGGCCCTGCCTTCTGCCGTCTACTGTGACTGACTGCATTAACTTGCGATTCCATAGGAATATTTGTTTATCTTTAATTTGTCAATGTGCCTCGAAGAAATGGAGCCGTGGCGCAGGTTGATATGTTTGTTTCTTTTCTCTGGAAGGTGCAGAGTTAGCCGTGGTTGGGGGCCGGTGTGTTCATTCACACGACAGTTTTATTCTGTTATGTGCGTGTGGCGTGTGCATGCCACGGTGTAAAAAGGAGAACCAATTTATGTCACCATTTTTTTTTTAATTAAGTATGTGAGAAATAAAATACCGAGGAAGGGGAAAGAAGCACCCTGACTTCTACTGATTTAAAGTATAGATTAAGTAGCCCCTCCTCTCTCTCTCTGAATGAAAGTGGCCATGGACAACCAGTAGCCCTATATTTTGAGAGAGTCACTCTCATGCCCATCCTAATAAAAAAAAAAAATCTAGAGATTGCCTAATGATTAAGATTCACGGCTCGACTGGGCGGGAAATTGGGCTGGCAGATGACTTCACAAATATAAACTATTCTAAGTCGGGCTGTGCCTCTGGGGGAGGAAGGGGCAGGGAGGAGGGGAGGGGAGGGGAGGGGAGGGCTGTCAGTGGTTTGCAGTATTGTTCTCTTCCTCCAGCCTGGACAGGGAGTCCCCAGAATCCAGGGCAAGTTGCTAAAGAACCCAAGCAGGAGTGAGAGGAGATGAAATCTCCACTGTGGGCGCTTTGTGCCGTCAGAAAGGCTGTCTTGCTGGAGCGTTTATAAAATCAATTGTGAACATACCTGGCCTTCGCCAGAAAAGCAAAAGAAGAAAGTCTTCAACAGAGAGGAAATCTAATTGCAGGATACCTGTCTGTGTATTCAGCCCCGGTGACC